ACCTGATGCATCAAAATTGGACGCAAAGGGAACTTTGGAAAAGCGTCAATATGTGACGACTTGGGAGTGAGAATGGGTTGGAATTTACGCAGCTCATTTACACACTTTTCCTGAAGATAGAAGAGTTTGTTGAATCTGACGTGACATGTTCGTACGAACCCTTTGTACGAACAAAAGTAAGAGAAATTTAGGAGAAGAATACGAACATGCTCTTGCATGAGGGCCAGAATGTGTCTAAGAAACTCTTGGATCTGAACAACTGTTTGTGTGTGGTTGTGAGCATGTCTCTACAAGGTCTCTTTATTGGAATGTTTGTGACTCTGGAGACCCACAGACCCGACCCCCAAGGCCCGAGGCAGACATAAGGGAGACCAGAGCCAAAGACCCTGAGAGGGACCCCAAGTGTGAAACCCCCAGGGGTACCACCGCAGGAACAGTCCACCCCCAGAGTCGACCAGAGGAGAGAACTGGGATTGCCCCCCCTCCCCCCCCCAGTGACCCCACACAGTAATCCCCCAGGGCCAGCAGCAACGAGCCCACAGGCTCCGCCGGGACCCACTATGCCTGAGCAGATCCGGCTATGGACACAGAGGCCCAGGTCCCCAGAGCGCACCACGCCCAGCCAAGGCCCAACAGGGCCAAAGGACCCAAGCCTCATCAGGCAGCCACCAGGCTGAGCCGGCACACACCCGAGTGCTCAGACACCGAGAGCCACCAGCACACCGGCGGGCAAAGGCACAACCCACCAGAGGGTAGTGTGGCAGGGGAGCAGGGTCACCACCAGTAGTGGGCCCCAAGATGAACCAGAAGAGGGGGCAGCCCATGTCCCAGCCTGACACATATCCAATCATATACAGACACAATCACACAATCCCACCCTCATCCTCACACCCACTCATTCAAAGACACACAAGATGGATGCAATACTCCACTCACACTCCCCATACACACTCTATACCCCCCCAGGTGCAGGACACACACCCGCCCCCTACAGAGGGCAGCCTACATCCAAACCCAGGAGGTAGACCCCTTCATTCTGGGGTAGAGAGAAGCAGACAGCCAAAGCTCCACCCAGCCAGCCCCCCGCCACAGCAAAGCCATGCCCCCAACCACCCCCATACTTTGCCAACGGCCAAGAGCACACCCCCAGATGACCACCTCCCATACTCCAGCGGCAACTCCAGCCAGAGGGCCAACCATGGAAACAAGCTTTCCAGAAGTCCAAACAGCCCCAGGGGAGTCAGGATGCCCCCCACACACACACCCTCAGATGTGCTGTTGATGCGTGTTGTTTTATAAGGCGAAGAAGAAGGGAGAGGCCGATATGGTGCCAGTTTTCCCTCCACCCAAACTCTAGTCTAAAACCCTAAATGTCTACAAGCAACCAGTGGGAGTGAGCACAAGATTCTTAGCTTTATATTGATACCAAACCTGTCAAGGTTCAACTTACAGATCTTAACAGAAGTTAAAAGATATAGAAAATGGAAAATGCTGTTTTGCATGGGGCTCCGTGGGCTCATTCAGAACTTCTCCAGTCTCATTGAAGGTCTTCTAGGGATTTCATTTGGACTTTGGCTGATTCTTCTCTCAATTTCAGTTCCTGACCATTTTCAGAGGAATGATTTTAACTCTGACCTCTAATCCTTTCAGACAAATGAAAACAAATCCCAAGAGATAAACCAGAGTTATGTCAACACATAAATAAATTAGGATGTGTAGTATCTTTGTTCCCAGCATCTTGTTGTAGAAACACAACTGGTCCCGTTTTTTCTGTTAGATATCATAGTTTGACAGGAAATAGATTTTAGCTCTAACATGGTGATACACAAAGAGATGTAGACTGAAAACTGGACACACGTTAGCCTGGTGTGCACTGTGTACTTCAATAATCTGAGCTAAATGGACAAAAGAAGAAAGAAGTATAAAATCTTAAAATTCCTCTTCAACAGATTAACATAATCTGAAAGTTTTAAGAGCAAATCCATTATCAACTGTAGGTCAAAGGTTCAGCTAACAGGACTGAACTGTGATGGAGGGAAATGCCGCCAAAGACCAAAGATAATTTTTAAAAGATCTGATAAAGATCTGATAAAGATCACATAATAAGGTCTTTGAATATCCCAAGGTCCTGGACAATCCTGTGGAATCTGGATCCTCTGTGTTCACAGCTGCGTCTCGCTGGGCATTGTACTCTCGAGGCCGCTGGAAGCAAAGGAGAAAGTTGACGGGTGAGTTAGCCTGGTTCAGTTCTGTCTGCTTATCAGATCTGGATCTAACCTTACTGCATTGAGGTTTGTCCATCCATTCTGCTTTTATCCTGCTTTTTCCTATTTAATGTTGGGAAGGCTGACAGAGTGGTTAATGGAGGCCTCCTGGAACCGGTAGGCTGCCGGTTCAATCCCCCATTCCATCTGTCTCAGTTGTGTTTTTGGGCACTCCACCACTGTCTCTGATGTGTCCCATCAGTGTATGAATGTGATTGGCACTGATTGGTCTCCACAGATGATTGTATGTTAGCGTGTAGAGACCTAATAGAGTGCTGTGTGAATGGGTAAATGAGGACACAGATTGTGTGAAGAGCTTTGAGTGTCCTGGTTGGATAGAAAGGAGCTATATAAGTACAGTCCATTTACCATTTCATCTTTAGGAGTCCACATGGAGACAAAGTACAGAGGTCTGGCAAAAGATGAAGAAGGTGAAGACCAGAGAGATGAAATTGATACCAACAACAGAATCCAGCAACTCAACAGAAAACTGCTAGACCACTTCAGAGACCTGGCAGCTAAAAACCAGGAGACAGACCAGGTAAGTCTGACCACTGAACTCTGGCCAGGACACTCAAAACGAAGAACTCTGACTACTGTAACAACTCTCTCTTTTAACAAAAAGTAACTGAATGTTTGAAGGTAATGTGTTTTTATGAGCCCTATAACTGATAAAATACCATAATCAACCAAATCATAGAATTTAAATAACTTCAACTGATGGAACGATGTATTTGATGGGTGATAGTACTGCTTCCTGGTGATAATTCTTACAGCTCTTTTCTGTAAAATAAAAATAGGATTTGGAATTGTTTTGCATGATTTTCCCCAAACAATACATTAGATCAAGTGTGGAACAATTATTGCATTATATAAAGGAGCAAAAACAAAAGTTCTGTGTTTATATTTTTGTTCAGTCTACATACTCTTGGAAAATTGAGAAATACCTCCTAAAATTGTAAAAAAAAATTGCTACTGTTGGAAAACAAATGGGGGGAGTAAAGGCTCCCACACACTCAGGTGTACTGTGTGCGGTCCATGAGCCATGCAGACTCTGCGCATAGCCTACTGTCTGCAGATGTTTGACACTTCATACTCGAGCGTACTGACCGCCTGACAAATTCTGTAATTTCTCACAATTTCAGTCATGATGTCAAGGACGAGGAGGAAGAGAGAGTTTGCATTTTAGCTTTAAAACAACAAAAGAAAAGAACTACCTTACCCAGGATCTGAACTATTTCCTCCACGAATTTGTTGCTCGCTGAAAGTCTTTATGTTCCTTCATTGACGCGTCATAAAGTTTTCTAATCTCCTCCATGAGAAACTCTTCTGAATTTGACTCCATTTCGTCCACAAATGACACCGATTCTCAACTTTATCAGCTTGGTGTTGCATCCAAAGCAGTTTGACGTGAACTCGCCTGGCAGTTTATTGTGCGACACTATGGACGCAGACATAAAAAATGATTTCTGCACGGACCAGTCCGGCAGACAGCCGCTTCGAGTCCACACTGAGTCCACCTCAAGTCCGCGCGGACCTCCACAGAGCGAAGTACGCCCGAATGTGTGGGGGCCTTAAGCCTTTTCTTAATTGTTGAACTGATGAGGAACAGAAAACGTGCAGAATAAATACAAAGAAAATAACAAAGTTAAGTAAATAACAATCAAAGCATGAATTTTAACCCCAAAATATCCTGAATAATTTTACAAAGGTAAGTGATTCAATAAATAAATAAAATAGGCAGAGGGCATAACGCCCCCAATGGTAGGCCTAAAGTTACGCCCTTGAATCCACCCTTCCAACACTCAGCCCCCACTCTTATCAATTAACTCTGACCACGTGAGACCGGCCAAAACTCTCTTACCAGGTAACTCTGACTGTTAGGAGTTCTGATGTAAGACTAACCGATAAGACCAACCATGTATTCAGACTAATGTGGAACATAAAGATTACAACTTTTTGGTCTTGTTAGTTGACTCACCCACAGGACATAAAGGTGAGTAAGTGGACTGTTTAATAAGCTACCAACTGTACTCAAGAAATAAAAACTGATGTCAATATTCCTTCTGCTAAAAACTGCTAACAGTGTCTCTGTGTTCAGGTGGATCTTCAGTTTCTGGATGAGGTGATCTCAGATGGTGCCGATCCAAACTGCTCAGACAGATATGGTCAAACGGTCCTTCATGAGGTCTCTTGACTTTCTTTTCCCCCAGTTTATTTTCACTGTGGTTGTAATATAGTGAAAATGTAATGTGACTAGTGGCTAACTTGCACTTCCTGTTTAGTATTTCTCTAACCTGCACTTCCTGTTTAGCATTTATCTCTAAACTGCACTTCCTGTTTAGTATTTATCTCTAACCTGCACTTCCTGTTTAGTATTTATCTCTAACCTGCACTTCCTGTTTAGTATTTATCTCTAACCTGCACTTCCTGTTTAGTATTTATCTCTAACCTGCACTTCCTGTTTAGTATTTATCTCTGGTCTTTGTTCATCTGAACTCAGGTGCGTCTGTGTCTTCAGGTATCCAGGGCTTGGAGTGTTGATGTGATGAAGTTCTTTTTAGACCGGGGTTCTGACCCCCTCCGTTCAGACCAGTTTGGAGTTACTCCACTGCATGTAGCCTCTGCCCTGGACTACGAGGACATGGTCCAGTTCCTGCTGGATCAAAATGGTTTGTGCAGTGGAATCTAAAGGAAATGCTAAGCAGATCTCTGCTGCTTCTGTTTATTATCAGTATTTTGTGCTGAAAGTCCTGTTTAAGTTTTCTGTTTGTTGTGAAGCGGATCTGGGTGCTCACACTTTCCTGGACCGGCAGACCCCTCTTCACTATGCTGCGAAAAACGATGCTGTTGGATCCATTAGACTACTGCTGCAGGCTGGAGCCACTATTAGCTGCACGGACTATAAAAACAGAACACCACTCCAGCTCGCTGCCAACATGGGTACTGCTGACATGATCAACTGATATCCCAGATCCTCACTGACTTCACCACAACTCTGCTTTCAGAGCGCAGCGAAGCAGCTCAGGTCCTGCTGGAACTTGGAGCAAGTGCCAGTGGGAAGGACTCTGATGGACAGCTGTGTATCACTGCTCTTATTGGTCGGATGAGTCATGTGGTAACAAAGGCTCACCCATCAGGGGGATTCTGATGTAATAAGTCCATGAAATGGATGTTTTTAGGCATTATCAGTCCCATACAATGGCTTCAGAGGGTCCCTACTGTGCCTTCTAGGCTTCAGGCTGTCCCGACAGTGCCCCCTAGTGGGTTAATATATCAATGACAATGAATGTGTAAATAACCAAAAGATTGTAATAAATTTTTTGTGTCCGTGTCGATCTCAAGCCCTGGTCTCCTGCTCTCTGGTTCGACACTCTACACATTGCCCTATTGGAAGGCCACAATGTACAATCGTTGGAGGGCGGGGTATTAAGTGCTAACCATGTCATTTGCTCTAAAGTTAACCTTAGTGGCTTTAAGCCTCATATGAACCAGTTTTTTAATAACATGTTAACCAAATAGTGGTTTTATGCCTCATATTAACCAGATAGTGGTTTTATYRCTCATATTAACCAGATAGTYGTTTTATGTCTCATATTAACCAGATAGTGGTTTTATGCCTCATATTAACCAGCTGACAATCGGAAGCCATTCTATGGGACGGGGAACCTGCTAACAGGCGGGACATTCTGAAGCCATTCTAGGGGACTGATAACGCCTGATAACGTCCATTTCATGGATGATAACATCCGAAGCGGGTGCACCTATCATCATCTGGCAGATCTTTGGTCAGGTAGACAATGTTGATAACATGTTGCTTCTTGTGTTCAGGCTCAGCTGGCTATTGGTCAGTTCCACGTGACAGACAAGATGACCAGGCAGCAGTACTTCTACCTGAACCTGCTGGAACCAGAGCCACATTCATCTGAGGGAAACCTGCAAGGTAAAGTCCTCCAGCTGACACCGCTGCAGTGCATCTGAAGGTCAGACTCAGACTGTCAAACATGTCTCCTGGATTTAGACTGTCTTACTTGTCTCCTGAACTCAAAGGAATAAACATTTTTCTTCAGATTCTAACTGTTCAACATTTGTCTTTGACTCAAATCTACAACTTGTTAACTGGACCAAGAGTCCAATATCTTTCTTGTACTCAGACAGTCTATGAGCAGGTTTACAGAGATTAGACAATGAAAGTGAAACAGCTGGTTTTAGACCAGAACATCCTTTCAGACAGCTTCCTCTTGCATCCACAGTTAATCCTGTTGGATGTGGTTGGTCCTTCTTGGTGGTATGCTGACATTACCCTGGATACTGTGGCTCTTGATACATCACAAAGTCTTGCTGTCTTGGTCACAGATGCTCCAGCAAGACGTGCACCAACTATTTGTCCTCTTTTGAACTCTGGTATGTCACCATAATGTTGTGTGCATTGCAATATTTTGAGCCGAACTGTGCTCTTACCCTGCTAACTGACCCTTCACACTCTGCTCTTACTAGTGCAATGTGCAATTAATGAAGATTGACCACCAGACTGGTCCAATTTAACCATGAAACCTCCCACACTAAAATGACAGGTGTTTCATTTTCATTGTCCAACCCCTGTATATTTACATTCTCATGTCTTGTATACATACTTGTGTGACAAATTTGCATAATTTCCATCTGTTGTCTCCTGCTGACACTCCATGTTTTACATTGCTCCAGTCAGAACTCTGTCCTGCAGACCTCTGCGGCTCAGTGTGTGGTTAGTCAGAACTTTGTGGGCTTGTTTGTCTATGTAAAGCAGCGCATCCTTCTACAGGTCAATTTGCTGAAAATGGTCCACCCTCAGAAGCCAGTTGTTAAAGAGGACCTAATATGGGGGTCCTAAAACAAGTTAGGATCTATCTGTGGGCAAAACATGTTCATTTGATTTAATTCACAAAATGAATCTCAGATAATGAAATTTCACCTTTTCAGTTCTGCCTCTTCTTTAGCTCTCCTCAGAATGTGCTGTTATGCAAATAAGGTGCTGTTGGCAACCCCCTCCCAACCTTTTGTTTACATTATATGCACCCCCAAACCCCCCCCCCCTAGTTCATGTTAGAACTTCAGAAACATAAAAATAAATTACTCTAAGCAGATGAACAATGTTATGAGAGTAGTAGATAGGCTGCCCACAGTGCAGCCACTCCCAGTTCTCGGTAGGAACAGACTGGAGCATCTGACTGAAGTCGGGCACTTTGGTGCTGGGGAGGCAAACGTACATCCTCCACCAATTTCTGGAGCTGTCAAAGATGAACTGAGGGGCAGTAAAGATCTGCGACCAGCATTTTGGAAACCCCCGCTCCACAGCGCTGGTGACACAGAAGCCTCAAGGCTGCAATGCACGCTGGCTTCCCCAGCACCAAGGTGCCTGACTTTGGTCAGAGAGCCATTCTGTCCCTACCGAGCCCTGGGTGTGGCCGCTCTGTGCACAGCTGGGTTGATTGACAACAAAGCAGTGGCACCCTGTGCTGTGTGGCCACTGGGTGTAGAGCTGGTCCAGTGTTCCACAACCAGGATCAAAACCACACTGTTCTTCCTGAAGACAAGATTCGACTATCTGACAGACCCTCCTCTCCAGGACCCCTGAATAGACCTTACCAGGGAGGCTCAGAAGTGTGATCCCCCGATAGTTGGAACACACTCTGTGGTCCCTCTTTTTAAATATGGGGACCACCACCCTGGTCTGCCAATCTAGAGGAACTGCCCCCGATGTCCACACGATATTGTAGAGTCACATCAATTAACACAACCCCACAACATCCAGAGCCTTAAGGAACTCCGGGTGAATCTCATCCACCCCCGGTGCCTTGCCACTGAGGATCTTTTTAACCACCTCGGTGACCTCAGCACCAGAGATTGGAGAGTCCAACCCAGGGTCCTCAGGCTCTGCTTCCTCATGGGAAGATGTGTCGGTAGGATTGAGGAGGTCTTTGAAGTATTCTGCCCACCGACCCACAACGTCCTGACTTGAGGTCAGCAGCGCACCATCCCCATCATAAATAGTGTTGGTGGCAAACCGCTTTCCCTCCCTGAGATGCCGGATGGTGGACCAGAATCGCCTCAAAGCCATACAGAAGACTTTTTCCATGGCCTCTCCAAACTCCTCCCACGTCCGAGTTTTTGCCTCAGCAACTACCCGAGCCACATTCCGCTCAGACTGCCGATACCTATCGGCTGCTTCTGGAGTCCCACAATCCAAAAAGACCTGATAGGACTCCTTCTTCAGCCTGATAGCATCCCTCACTGCCTGTGTCCACCAGCGGGTTCGAGGGTTTCCGCCACGAAAACGGAGGTACGGAACATGGCCCACTCAGACTCAATGTCCCCCATCTCCCCGGAACATGTTCCAAGTTCTCCTGGAGGTGTGAGTTGAAGCTCTGTCTGACGGGAGACTCTGACAGATGTTCCCAGCAAACCCTCACTATACGTTTGGGTCTGCCAGATCTGACCGGCATCCTCCCCCACCAACGGAGCCAACTCACCACCYGGTAGTGGTCAGTTGACAGCTCCACCCCTCTCTTCACCCGAGTGTTCAAAACGTGTGGCTGCAGATCAGATGAAACGACAACAAAGTCGATCATCGAACTGCAGCCTAGGGTGTCCTGGTGCCAAGAGCACATATGGACACCCTTATGTTTGAACATGGTGTTTGTTATGGACAATCCATAATGAGCACAGAAGTCCAATAACAAAACACTGCTAAGGTTCAGATTTGAGGGGCCGTTCCTCCCAACCACGCCCCTCCAGGTCTCACTGTCATTACCCACGTGAGTGTTGAAGTCCACCAGCAGAACGAGGGAGTCCACGTTAGGAGCACCCTCCAGCACCCCCTCCAAGGACTCCAGAAAGGGTGGGTAATCTGAACTGCTGTTAGGCGCATAGGCACAAACAACAGTCCGGTCCCGTTCCCCCACCCGTAGTCGGAGGGAGCCTACCTAGGGAGCTAAAGACCACATCCAATATGTTCCACTATGTTTCTTGACTGTCCATCATGACCACAGGCCTCAGCTGATTCAGCATGTTTCCCGGTCTCAAATTGTCCATGATGATTTTTAGACCCAGACTGTCCTATATGTCTTCTAGACTCAGATTGTCCTTCATGTTTTTTGGACTTGGATTATCCAACACTTTTCCTGCACAAATACACTGCATCTTATTTCATAAATAAAAACTGTCCAACATGTCTCTTGGGCTCCAACTGTCCAACATATTTGTAGGAGAGAGCCTAGTATGAAATAAGCTTTTTCCCACATCTCTCATACACAGGGTTATGAGGAAAATTTTTACCAAGGGATTTCTCACTGTTAATATCCTGACTGATGTCCTGAATTCAAGCCGTATCCGGTTTCTCCTTCAAAATAAAAATCATCTTCCCATCGGAAGGTAAACAGATGCTTGAAGACTTGAAGCCTTGGGTGGGGACACCGACAGGCTTGTTGGTTCCCTGGCTGTAAAATCCACCCTAATTGGCTCGTGGGATTAGATTTACAGCCCCAGAGCTGTGATTCTCCGAAGAAAACCACAGCCGTCTTCCTTGTTTGAATGAGGAAGTGAGAGTGTGCTCAAAGCCGTCCAGGTTAGTAATAAGAATGGACGAACTTTGGTTCCGCCCTCAGGCTTAGAGATGAGTCAGAGAAAGAAAGATAAAGATTTGCCAGGCAGGCGCCAGTCAAGGTTAAATTCTGTGGTTGTTCAACAACATCATGATAACCTCTTTAGCTTCCTTCTGATAGACTCTAAGAGAAATCACTGCAAATCATTTATGCTGATTAACTGTAACATTTCTGTTTTATAATCAGTTCTGAACCTTCTGTTAGTCCAGATAAATGAAAGATTTTCTCAGGAAAAATCCACAATTATATTACTGTGTTCACAGTAAAATAAAAACAGTGATTTACATAAAAACACAATGAAAACATTGTAATCAGATTCTCTGTGATTTTTTATACCATTATAAATCTTTAAGGCGCGATAAGAGAAAAGAAGTGGTTCCTCTTTTTCTGTGACAGGCATTATCATGATTTAACAAATGCATAAACATTCTTAGTTAAACAACAAATGAGTCACGAACAGAAGAGATTGTTCTGCCCATTATCTGATTAAGAGAACTGAGGGGTTCTCTTCCACGGTTAGAATGACCTGTCATGGCCTAAATAGAGTTCAGTTTGTGACAGAGTTCCTGTCCTCTTTTCAGGCCTGTCTGAGGCCTGCTTCGAGGCAGTAAATATTGTTTCTTCACTCGAGGTGACCCCTACATATTTCTATCTAACATATAATTCCACTGAATATTTTTTGTCTGCCTTGTCTCAATATTACAGGTGCAGAGATCAGTGAGCCCACATCTCCAGTAAGTATAAACAAATATCAAGTTGGACAGAAAGTAGGACAGTGGACAGACTAGTGAGGCATCTTGATTGTTCAGCGATTTTTGGAAATGTTCCCACAACATAGTTCATCAGTTCAGTTAAGCTGATATTAGTTAGCCCAAGAAAGTGGTGAAACAGAAGTGCCACACAGAATCCAGAAGTTGGACCCATATTTACTTCCATGTTTGAAAATAAGGTGGATAGAGGACAGGGAGCACATTACAGCTGACAGAATGCAGATTGCTGAGAACTGTAAAGGACAGTAAAGGACAGTAAATTCTGCCATGTCTCCAGCTGCAGGTGGTTGTTCAGGAGGGGAAGCTGGACCTAATCATGAATCCGTTATTTCTCAAACTTATTCAGGTCAAATGGCAACTCTATGGCAGGTAACCTTCTTTAGATTGGTTGGATTTGTTTGACTTTATTGCAACTGTACCTGCATGTGTACCTGTGTTGCATACAGGTTGGGTGCATGGTTTCTCCTCATCCTCAATTTCCTGCTCAATGTTTCCTGGACAACTGTTGCCATCTCTATGTCTGCCCACCCAGAATCACGTGATCGCTATGTTCTTCCTCAGGTGACATGTCTGTTTCTTATGCCTCTCTAACCTGTCTGTGGTCACCTGTCTCTTTTTTACCTATGACTTGTGTGAGTCTAACGTCTGTGACCGCCTTTTACTTGTCCCTCGCCTGTATCCACGACTTTGATATTTCTGTCACTACCCAGTGTTCCTGATAATAGGTGAGGATAGGAAGGCAGACGACTGGTAAACTGAGAGGTTTGCTTTGCAGCTCAGCTCAGGAAACCTCAGACCTTCCTATTCTCATCCTTGATAGAGAGGAACGTTGGTTTGAGAGAGGAGTAAAAGAAGCCATCTTTGTGAAGAAAAACCGTCCATCATTAAACAGAGGTGGAGGCCTTCGTGTCCAGTTGTCCTCCTCCTACAACGCTGTTATTGCAAGTTTGACTCCGCCCCCTGTGAGCAAAAGGTGTGAATAAGGGCCTCAATGATACCAACAGAAAGAGGGAAAAAACAAAAACAAGGGGATGTTAAATCCCCGCTTGCATTCACTACATTCACATAAGAAAACACGGGTTAAATAATGGGTTACATGACCCTCTATGAACAATAGAGCTAATCAAGCCTTTCGTTAGGCTGATTGTCTTCTTTTGCATGTTACTAATCTGTTTGTCCACCACGTGGAGGCAGTGCTTATAAGGCTGAGTTCACCTGAAACTCATCAGACTGAAGAAGTCTCTTGGAGGAGAGACGAAACGTTTCACTAAAGAAGAACCATCCAGAGGACCTACTGATTTTTTTTACTAAATCTTTAACATTTTAATATGACAGTCATTTCGGCTTTTAGAAAAATGTTTTTTGAAGGGATCTCCTCCCAATAAATGTCATTAAAAAAATCTAACCACTCATTTTTACTCAATACTTTTAATACTTAAGTACATTTTGTGTTAGAGATTTACTTTTGATACTTAGGTACAAAGAAAGTCAAATACTTTAAAAGGTTCACTCAACACTACCGATCCACCTGTTGATTTCAAACCTCATTTATCCCTCACTTGTAAACAAAACACACTTAAATTCCTACTTATTAGGACCAGGTGGTGAACTGGATCACATGGTGGTGGAAAATATTGGACAGAGCCAGTAGTAGAGATGTGATGTTCACAAATGATCCAAATATTTTGAACGGCTCTATACAACGAACGATAGGAGCCGAATCGCAGGCAGTAATGAGCCATTTCTGGTTTTATTTCTTTTATTTCTCATATAATCTTTATTTTTTCATACTTAAATCGCTCCCGCTTTGCTTTTTCTTGGAGAACAGGCAGAGTTGTGGATTACAGAAGCTCATGGTGAAAGGGGGATGGGGGTTTCTGCTTGACAAACAAATGGTTCCACCCACGTGATGGGATTACATCATTACATATGGCTATGTGATGATGTATTTCCCTACGTGACGACATAATACATTCAAAATCGAACAACTCTTTTGAAAGGGTCTATGAAACAAATGGCTCCCCAAGATCCAGATCCCTTCAGAGAGCCATTTATCCCATCTCTAGCCGGTAGACCCAAACATGTAGAGGGTTTGTTGGGAGTGCCTGGCAGAGGAACTTGTCAGAAGGATCTTCAGCTCCTTTATCAGATACTCAGCTGCATCTCAGAGGAGGTGGGAGCCATTAAATCAGAGTGTCAATGAGCCTTCCTTGAATTGTGACAGCAAGGTTGTTGGTGCCTCTCCTGGTGGCCATGCTCAAACTCGGTAATGGACAACCTGAATGAGGGAGGCCAATATACTAAAGAAGGAGTCCTACCTTGTTAGCTGATAGACCTCTAGAAAAATCTAAGGGGTGTCAGTGAGCCAATGGGGCTGCAGCCCTGGCTGTTGCTGAGGTAAAGCTCAAATGTGGGTTGAGTTTGGTGAAGATTGAGACTCTTGATCAACTCCAAGAAGTTCTTGCAAACAGTCAGGGTGAGCTGGGTGAAACACTTTACCAACATAGTGCACAGTGAAAGTGGCCTGCTCTTGACAACAACAAGTGATGTTGTCAGCGGTGGAAGTAATACTTTGAGGATTATCTTAATCCCACAAGCATGTCTTCCATAAACAAAGCCGAGTCAGAGGGTTTTGGGGTTGGTTAGTCTATAACTAAGGCTGAGGGATCTCCATGGTGGCAGGGCTCCAGGAGTGGACTAGCTCTGCCCCTAGTTCCTCAAGGCTCTGGATGTTTCTGAGCTCTTGGTTTACACACATTTACAACACTGTGTGGACATCGAGGCAGTGCCATTGGATTGGCAGACTGGGATGTTGGTTTCCTGTTTCAAGTATATGGTCCAAAAACAGAGCTCCAATAGCGTTGGTCAGGGACGACATTAAGAGAATTTCCAGGAATCCCTCAAGTCCTGGATGTCAAACAAATTTTGCAGCGGACCGCATACATCATGCCTGAACCCACAGCTTTATTTCATGTAAACGTAAATGAAGATGACGTTCCAGGTGCCAAAATAGAGTATGATTGTATAGAGGGATGCAGCAACACTCAACCAAAGCATTGGCTACAATGTAGAGGACTGCTAAGTCCGGCAGCCGCATGAATTTATAAAAAGGTAAGTGTTTTGTTCCTGCATTGTTATCCGGTGTTAGCTATTAGCAAGCTATGCTTTCTGCCCAAGAAAAACACATTAATTAGTATTAATATTTTAAAAAACTGCATGACCAGGAAGCAGAAGCAGGCACTAAAACAGACACATAACATGTCAAAGACATGGCTGTCTTTCTGGTGTGACACAATATGACCTATTTGTATTCAACCTGTCTGTCTCTGTCTCACATGCATACTGCCTGTGTTTTATCTGTCTTATGACCTCATTTTTAGCTCGTTTTCACCTGTTGATGAACTGGTTGGGTCTCACCTTCCTGTTTCTCACCCACTGTGTATCTCAGGACTGGTGGCGTGTCCTTGTAGTGGTTGTGGCGCTCCTTCTGACCGTGGAAGAGGTGTGGAGGGAGGTGAAGGATGTTATGCGCTCGAGGAGAAAGCTCCACCTGCAGAGGCTCTGGGTAGAGCGTCGTCTCCATGATGATCTCCGGTGTTCACATCCTATGTGGCCTCAGGTAGGAAACAAAATTCAATTAAATTCAGTTTATTTATACAGCGCTAAGTCCCAACATGTGTTGTCTCAGGACACTGTAGATAAAAAGAACAATGTAAAGAATTTAGCAGCAGATTGTGT